CGTGTCACAAACGCAAAATTTCCAAGTGCTTATAAACGCCCTCCGTGTCACAAACGCAAAATTTCCAAGCGCTTATAGACGCCTTTCGTGTCACAAACGCAAAATTTCTAAGCGCCCTCAGGCGCCCTCCGTGTCACAAACGCAAAATTTCCAAGTGCTTATAAACGCCCTCCGTGTCACAAACGCAAAATTTCCAAGCGCTTATAGACGCCTTTCGTGTCACAAACGCAAAATTTCCAAGTGCTTATAAACGCCCTCCGTGTCACAAACGCAAAATTTCCAAGCGCTTATAGACGCCCTCCGTGTCACAAACGCAAAATTTCCAAGTGCTTATAAACGCCCTCCGTGTCACAAACGCAAAATTTCTATGCGCCCATAGGCGTTCTTCGTGTCACAAACGCAAAATTTCTAAGCGCCCATAGGCGCCCAAAGTAGTAAAGTGGTTAAACACGCTTACTCTCAAGGAAGTCTGAATTGCAACTGACCTATCCAGTTACTCTCTCATTTATTCTCTCTACTTTCATTCGTTACGTGATTATACACAGTCCATACCACACTTCATTTATTACACGAATATTCGATCCACTCATTCTTTCTTGTAGACATCGCTTACTTTTACATCTACATATATAGATTTAATATTTACGAAGATTCGAAATGAGACTTCCTGATTGCATTTTGGACTTATGAGTTATTCGAAGCGAGCTGACAGAGGTTCCATATGTCTGAGGGTGATAATTACTCCTACTATTTTAATCGCTTTCAAAAACACACCGTGCCAACACTATAGCAACGATATAAATCAGGTAATTTTATCGCCGCTCTGTGTATCTTCTCTAATTTGATCTAGCCATGTAAATTGGAATATCGATTGCCTTGTAAACAGGCAACCAGTCAACATCTATGGAACGATCATCGCGAATATATACAGTGAGTCAGAATAGCACTCATAGTCCCCTAATTGTCAACTTCGAACGATTATTATATTTCTGCTACATGGCACTCGATATCCTCATCGACGAGAACGTGTATCGTATTAAATAGGATGAAATATCAAGAGCGACTCGATTCGTGAATATCTCGATTTTTATGTACGATAAATCTTTATACTGGTATCTTTATGACGTTAATTTCATGACAATGTACTTTAATTCCTATTTCTATTTTCTTTTTTAATGTATTACGGAATTTTACGGAATTACGTTAATTTTTCTTTTTTCTGAATTATTTTATCAATTTTTTATAATTGGCAACTTATTTCTACGACGATTTACTTTAATTTTTGTGTTATGTACAATTAAATTGAAGAGAATTCTTTGTTAGGGGAACACTGGTTAGTTGAACTTTCTGCTCTCTTTTTATTATGAAACATCTTTAGATTTGGAAATTTTATAAAAATTCGAGATTCAAAGATTCGAAAGTCGCCTTTTAAGACACTAATTTCTCTTATACCTAATTCAGAAATATCTGTGATTGTATGAACTACCACTATAGCTCGCAATTTCAAAAAACACTAATTTAATGATTAATGTATAAAAAAAGAAAAAAATTGATAGGAACAAGTCTTATATATTCGAAAATTGCAAATGCAATTTAACTGAATGCTGGTAAGATGACTCTATACTTAGAATTTCAACTTGAATAACATCTCGAAAATTAAATATCTTACAATTTAAAAAAAATAAATTTATAAAATTTAAGCAAATAGTGATAAGGAGAATATATGTTCAGAATTTTAATCAACAATATCTCAGAAATGAATATACATACACAATATAGTGTATTTTTCAACAACCACAGACATAAAATGGCAAGAAAAAGATACCCTAATTTATTCATTAATTAGGTTACAAAACAATTAAATCCTCGAGAAACAAATGAAGCAAGCAAATCTTACACTTCCAAAAAATAAAATTTATACAATATAATCAAATGCTGATGAGAAGAATGTATGTTCAGAATTTTAATCAACAATATCTCAAAAATGAATATACATAAACAACATAGTGTTCTTTTCTAAAATTACAGACATAAAATTGCAAGAAAAAGAAACTCTAATTTATTCATTAATTAGGTTACAAAACAATTAATTCCTCAGGAAACACATAAAAGAAACAAATCTTACAGTTCCAAAAAATAAAATTTGTATAGTATAATCAAATGCTGATAAGAAGAATGTACATTCAGAATTTTAACTAGATATATCTCAAAAATAAAAATACTTACACAACACATAATTCTGTTTTACAACCACAGGCATAAAATTGCAAGAAAAAGGAACTACAATTTATTTATTAATTGAATTACAAAATAATTCATTCCTCTCGGGAAACAAATGAAGAAAGCAAATCTTACAGTTCCAAAAAATAAAATTTGTATAGTATAATCAAATGCTGATAAGAAGAATGTACGTTCAGAATTTTCACTAGAAATATCTCAGAAATAAAAATACAATACAAACATAACACAATAAAAGTGTTCAGTTTTACAACCATAGACATAAGATTGCGAGGAAAAAGATCTTCCAGCTGCAAAACAGAAAAATGATACAATTTAACCGAATGCTGATAAGAAGAATCGATGTTCAGAATTTTGACCTGCGATATCTCGAAGACGAGCACACGTACATAGCACAGAGCTTTTCCTTCCAACGGCAGGTATTCCCACGAAATTTCTTTACATCCCGGAATAATGAGAAAAAGGAGAAGAAAGTAGGGTGAAAGAATGAAGTTTCATCCCCTCGCGGTTATCGCCATGCCCGCGTTTTATCGCGACAGTGGCCAAAACGCTTTATAGAAGGTGTTCCTTAGGCCTAACGTCGATCTCTAACCTCGCCCTCAGCCTTTTCCACGCGTCTCCTTTGTCTTCGTCCGCTGCTCCCCCGTGGGAACCGGGGATTGCTGAGACGATTGGATTTTCCGGGATCGTCGATGACGAGACGTCGACCTTCCCCAACGTTCCACTGAGAACGTTCCCGCGGTGGCAGCATCGAGGTGAGACTCGACCGGGAAGAAAAGATTACCGGCTTTCCGTGGCTCTGGATTAAATTTTCTAGGGCCTCGCGAGTCGCCGACGATCTTCCGGCCTTTTACCTCCTGAACCGTGGCTACCCTCATCCCCCCGATGATCCCGAGCCATCCACCAACTTTATGCTTGGAAATTGCTTCGAATCGCTGATAAATTATTTGTCGATTTAAAAATCGATTTCAGCATGGTTAGGTTAGGTTAGGTTCTGAACTTTTAGTTATTATGTCTGAGGTCTGAGTTCTTATATCTGAGTTCAGAGTTTTGAATTCTGAATTCTGAATTGTTATGTCTGAGTTCTTATATCTGAGTTCTGAGTTCTTATATCTGGGTTCAGAGTTCTGGATTCGGAATTGTTATGTCTGAATTCTGGATTCTGAATTGTTATGTCTGAATTCTGAATTCTGAATTGTTATGTTTGAATTCTGAATTGTTATGTTTGAATTCTGAATTTTTATGTCTGAATTCTGAATTCTGAATTGTTATGTCTGAGTTCTAAGTTCTTATATCTGAGTTCAGAGTTCTGAATTCTGAATTGTTATGTCTGAGTTCGGAGTTCTTACATCTGAGTTCAGAGTTCTGAATTCTGAATTGTTATGTCTGAGTTCTGAGTTCTGAGTCCTGAATTGTTATGTCTGAGTTCTGAGTTCCGAGTTCTGAATTCTGAATTTTGAGTTGTTATGTCTGAGTTCAGAGTTCTGAATTCTCAATTCTAAGTTTTGAATTCTAAGTTCTTATGTCTGAGTTCTGAATTATGAATTTTGAGTTATTATGTCTGAGTTCAGAGTTCTGAATTCTCAATTCTAAGTTTTGAATTCTAAGTTCTTATGCCTGAGTTCTGAATTATGAATTTTGAGTTGTTATGTCTGAGTTCAGAGTTCTGAATTCTCAATTCTAAGTTTTGAATTCTAAGTTCTTATGTCTGAGTTCCGAGTTCTGAGCTCTGAGTTGTTATGCCTGAGTTCTGAATTCTTGTTCTTGAACGAACAAGAAATTTCTCTAAATCACTCATAGTTTGAAATAGTTTTACTATTCAATATATAAATACAAATAATTTCTCGATATAAAGTTGTCAAAAAATAAAATTTTAAGATTGTAGTGAATCTCCTAGCATTCTTACTTTTTACGCAATACTTCATTGTAGCTAAAAATCGTACCTTTTTAGAAAACCCCACATTTCTTGGAAACTGAGGGTGATAAAGCAATTTCGATTACGGATTCACGTTCGAAAAAGTAAACTGCATAAATCGCCTAATAGATATTATAGATATTACAGATTAGAGAAGAAGTTAAAATTTAATGTACAATGTTATCACTCATTATTTTCATAAATCGTATGACTCGATAATATTAATGAAACAAGTACAAATATTTGTCCATTGTTCACAGACGAAACACGATTGCTTTTAAAGGAACGACGATTTTTCGAAATATTTATTCCCGAAAGCGTGATTTTATTCGTTTCGCTTCCTGTTCGCAAATTCCCATCCGGTTTCACTCGGATTGTCAAAGAACGGCGGCAAATTTATAGATATCCATATCTATCGCTATAAAAGAAAGACCAGACGGTGGCGAGAAATCGCGATTCCACCGGTGAAAAATTCTATCGCTATTCCCCGAGCGAAGAAAAACAAAGGCATGTGTATTGAAAAATTATTGAATTTTCCGCCGATTTACCTCTAGCAGAAGAAAAGAGTTCTAACAGACATTTTCTTGGCAGGGCAGTCTGTTCAGTTGGCGAGACGAACAATACCCAGGATTCGACGCCAGGCCTCAGTGAGTTCGGAAAGGTGAGTTAATAAACGAAATTATCGAATATAAAACTCAGAGAAAAGAAATATGACAAATCATATTCCTTTCGTATTTTTTTAAATCGCATAAATAATTCCAGATTTAATATCAATTTATTATAACTCAATAAGAAATGTATTTTCGTCACTGTCCTTAATAATTATATCATTAATATTTTACTAAAATTTTAAACTTTTATTTATTTAGATCTAAGAAGCTTTTTCAACCTTTCTCAACTGTGTTGCATTCAAGTTGAATTTAATTACCAAATTTGAAAGTTGTAAGGAAAAAAATAGAAATTATGGTTTTCGCATTTTAGAATTCATCAATATGCAAATTAATTATTTTATTTTCCGTAAGATACGAATTTTTGTTTTGATAATCAGTAATAATAGTTAATAATTTTTCACGAAATTGTATAATTTATCTCATTTTTGAATCATTATATGTAAAGATCGTAAAAAGTATATATAATATTTTACTGTATTTTAAAAGGAAGCAATTTTAAAATTCAGTATAGTGTGAAATAACCCCATAACGACAATAATAAATTCTCTAATTTCTAATCTCTAATCTTAATTATATTAATTATATTAATTATTAAATCATATTATTAATCAGTTAAAAATTAATTAATTATATCACTGATTTTTTGTGGAATGTTTAATTACCATATCTTAAAAATTATCATCTTGATTTCGTTTTCAACTATATCATATTAAAATGAACAATATAAAATATACAATAAATTACTCTTATTTTTACATTTCAAACGGGAGCAATTTTAAACCTTAACACGACGTAAATAAATCCCGCATCAGTTTTCATGCAAAGTGTATTTTTGTCACCCCCCTCTGTTAATTAATTATGTCACTGATTTTTACGAAACTTTGCAGTTTATAATATATTTAAACGTAACAAGTCGTTCCCTTTTTTAACCACTTCGTATTATACTCAATTAACAAAGTCACCGAATATAAAAATCGCGTGAAAGAAATTAAATCACGGTTTTTCCTAGTTTAAAATTAGATATAACACGAATTAATTATAATTACTTCGTAGCTTATAATATCTTTGAACCTAAGAGATCCTCCCTTTTGCACCTAATACTAAATATTAAAATTTTCGGGAAGATTTTAAAATCGGAAAATCAGCTAGTCTACGAAGACTATGTAAATGATACTATAATTACTAGAGCAGAATAGGAAAATATGGAAATTAATCACAGAAGGATGGAATATAGATATAATAACGATGTCAATCGATGGTATGTTCAAATTGCGAATAAATCATATTTTGCAACGCCTTTTGAAGAAAAGAAGGGGCAAATTATTAATTAACTGACCATGATTCTTCCTATGACCACGATACATTACGCTCGATTAACAATTTTAATTAACAATACTAAGACAACCAACTTTCACTACATAACTGAAACGCCACTCAAAATTGACATAACGAGGACAAAAATTAAATTAAAAAATTAAATTAAATTAAATTTTTTACTAAAAGTATTTTTCACTGAGCTCACTCGCTTTAACCGATTACGAAGGGACCAAAATTTTCTAAATCCTTTTGGAAACAAAATGGAAACAAATATAGAATATTACAAATTTCACACAAGTAGTAATTTTGACAGAAAGCATAGATTTTTAATTAAAAATTGAAGATATTTTTCAACAACGAAGACACGTTATTCTTTCATATAATTCTCCATTTTTAATAACCATGACCTGTTAACTGTCACGCTGTCATTCTTCTACATTGACGACACTACCATACAAATGGCGCAAGATCCCAATCTTGCATGAATTTTGGGACTCTTTTTACATACGTAAAAATATAAGAAAGACGTACTCGAATTTCTCGAAAGCTCTCGCGAGTCGATTAAACTTGCTTGAACAAGCGTAAATCAAATAAGGATTGCATTAAGAAGCCCGACACCGGCGTGAAGGTGGACAGATTAACCCTTTGCACTCGAGAGGCACTTCTCAGTCCCCTTTTAACCCTTTCGGTTTAATCCGGCATTCATCTGTGTAGAATTTTATACAAATATTTTTTAATATTAAAGCTACAAACAATATTTATTAGAAAAGATATTGTATTATTAAGCACAGTTCTTATTTAACGCTTAAGAAAATCTTCGTACAAAAGAGGACTGACCATGTGCTATGTGCACATTTTTACCCCCTACAGCAAGAGTATCACGGCAGACAACGTTCTCTAACCGAAAGGGTTAATCAGATTCTAAAGAGGGATGTTAATTAATATATCAAATTTACAATTATCCAAAGATAAGTGGAATATCGAAGTAAATTAATTCTACATCTTAAATTGCACCTGGCATGATAAATTATCGGATTACGAAATCGAAAGAATACGTATCCCCAAGTATCTTCCGAAATAAAAATCGGATTTTAAACAGAAGACGGTGCGAATTAAAAATAATTTTTCTCTGATACGGTGTTCACGTCCAAATTCGTAAAAACTAGTTCTAAAATGAGAATATCGGAGGCCTTCGAAGGAAAAATCGCGAATACAATCGACGATCGATGTCGCAAAAATCGTTATTTGAATAACAACTTGGCGATGCACGAATCGCTTTCATAGAAGATATTTCACGTATCTCGAAACACCTGCATTTAGATGCACCCAGCATGATAAATTATCGGATTACGAAATCGAAAGAATACGTATTTCCAAGTATCTTCCGAAATAAAAATCGGATTTTAACCCTTTGCACTCGAGAGGCGATCTTCAGTCGCCATTTAATCAAATTCTAAAGATCGATGTTAATTAATATATCACATTTAAAGTTACCCAATGACGCGTGGAATATCGAAATAAAATAATTCTACGTCTTAATTTGTACACGATTTCTTATCTACCCTTTTAAAAATATCGTCGTCTGTATGACAGAAAGTCTTCGAATTGCTATTTTCCTGTATCGAAAAAATCGCCGAGTGCAAAGGGTTAAAACGTCTACTTATCCCTTTAAGCTCGGATGTTCTTCGGGGTGCGTGGAAGACAGACGAACGTTGAAGAAGAATCGATCGGTCGTCACTGGCGGTGAACGCTGTATTTATAAGTAACCGTGGTACCGTCGTTGAACGAGTGATAAATAATAATCAATGGGGAGCAATCGATGACAGTGCGCGCCCCATTTACACCGCGGTTCTTGGTTCTTGCACAAGTTACGAGCATGACCCATTTAAACGGGGATCCCACGAACGACGTTTCGCGAGCTGAAACGTAATCGGCGAATTTTCCAGGCGAACCCCGGCATTCGTCGCAGAAAAATTCGCGATATGGCGATAAAAGCGAGAAGAAAAAAGGAGAAAAAATTATAAGGGGGGGTAGGGGGTGGAAAAGAAGGAGAAAGGGAGCCCAGGGGTGAATCTTCACTGGGCCAGGGGTGTAGCGCGTTTTTTTATCGATCTCTCGAAATTTCCACTCTCTCCACGGTAGTTTCCGCCGCGTGATAAAAAAGGGGGGGAAGCGAAGGAAAAGTCGGGGGCGGGGGGAGAGAAGGAGAGGAAAAAAGAGGTCGTAGGACGCGAACGAGAACGTAAATCAAATAAGCCATCTCCGCTATCTTCCGCGCGCCATTTTCCATCCCCTTCTCGCTCTCTCTCCCTTCCTCTCGATCTCGATCTCGGTTTCGCTCTCTCCCCCTCGTGATCTGGATCTTGCTCTCTCTGTGTCTCGCTCCCTCACTCTGACCTTCGCTCTCTCTGATTTTCTGTCTCTGTCTTTTCATTTGACTATCATTCTCTCTGTCTGTCTCTCGCTCTGACTTTCGCTCTCTTTTTCACTCTCACACCCTCTCTCTCTCTCTCTTTTTTTCCGATCTCGCTTTTACTCACTCGTTCTCTCGATCTCGTTCTGGTTATTTCTCTCTCGCTCTCGCTCTCTCTCTTTCTCTCTATCCATCTCGTTCTCGTTCTCTTTCTCGCTCTGCCCACGCTCGTTCTTCCACATTTTTCCCCTCGTTTTCCCCTCTCATTTACATGTACACTCGCCTAACCGCGACGGCAGGACCGCGTTTGTGTGCAAACGCGGAGCCACATTGGCAGACATGCCGCGATTGTTCGAGCGCAACGTGGACTATATCGAAACAACGGTGGTGCAAAATCGTTATTGCGGAGGTAACCCCCGCCAGACGATTTACTAGAAAATTCCACTAATCTGAGGATTTCTAAAGCCATTCCGGTCGTGTGCTGTTCCGTTTCCGCGCCCCTGCTGCTGCCCGGTCACGCGGCCGGGACCAACGGCGTTACGGTGCCCGAGGTCGAAAATAATTTCAGTGATGTAACCGAGTTACATTCGGACGGATTTTATCCAACGGCGTTTGTTTCCTTCCCGATATCCAATCCGAGTGGCTTTCAATGCCGGTGTATGACATTACGTAAGTATCCGGCGACGACGCGAGCCACTCGTATAAATCGTCGGGACATAATCTCGTATATCTTGTCCTATGGCGCTCGCAGGAAATTGCAAAGTCCGTGCTGTTTAATGGGACAATGCCTCGAGCAACAGCGGGACACTGTATCGGATATTCCGCTGGAATTTTCAGATTTTCGCGAATTTTCGTCATTCTTACCTCATTTTCCTCGTTCGCTTTTTTTCCTCTTTCGATTTTATTTTTGTTTTATTGCATCGAATATTCTGCTGAAATTTTCAGATTTTCGCGGATTTTTTTCTTGCACCTCTTTCTTTTTCCTTTTTTCGCTCTCCGTTTGCTGGAATTTTCAAATTTTCGGCGATTTTTTGGTTTCTTGTACCTCTTCTTTTCCTTTTGGATTTTTGTTGTTGGTTTTAATCCTTGTTTTAAAAAGAAATTATAGATTTTTGAAATATGATGGAAAATGATAATTGGAGATAATGCAATTTTGGAATTTCCGTTGATTTTTTGACGCTTGTCCTTCCTCAATTTCGGTTTTGGAATAACGGCGAGAATTTACGATTTCGAGGTGAAAAGGATGTTTTGAATAATTAT